CACACACGCACACACGCACACACGCACGCGCGCAGGAAAAAGCAAAAGGAGCCCAAAGAACGGTTCTCGTAATGAGGGATGGCTCTTTTTGCAACTTCCTGCATGGTGTTTCGGGTTGGTCGTTTATGAGCGTTGTCAACTTCCCTAAGTACGTCTTGGAAAAAACTACTTCCAAAAGGCTACTGCTAGGCTGCTACCGCTGAAGAGCAGCCTGTTGATTCGCACGCAGCCAGTCAACATTATTCTCTTCAGGTTGGGTCGCAAGTAAGGCATTGCGACTCGTGGGTCGCAGGATCCATCGCACCAAGCTATGCTGCACGAGCTGGAGGTGGGACATGTTGGTCTTTGAATGAGCCAAGCCTTTGGTACGAAGACCTTGCGTCAGGGCATTATGTCCAGCATGGAGGCGGAGCTACTTGACCCTTCCAGGCGCGGAGGGCCGGTCCAACTTGAGTCAATCACTCAAGCGTTGTTGGCCATCTTCGATGGGCGGTTGTCCAAATGAGTGTTGTTTTTGAGGAGATCCCCGTACAAATAGTGGTTTTCCTTTTGTTCCCTTTACAACCAACCAACAAGGGCCCCCTCAACAAGGACAGACCCATGGGTGTGTTGTTTTTGTTGAGGGTTCCCTTTCTTAAGGCTTGGTTTTAAAGGACAAGCAAAGAGCACACCATTTTGGGGGTCCCCTGTTTTAAGACAAACCCAAATAGATGGTGCTTCATTCAGTTCCACGGAAAAAAGGGTTTGGTATGAGAACGTCTGCATTTGTAAATTATCGTTCAGGTACCGTGATGATCCCTTGTCCATTTTTGGTTTCGTTTGTTTTGCATCCAGTCCATCATTATAATAGGGAAATCATGGACATCGTGCCATACTTGCAACATTCGCGGAACTCACTGCAACCCAAGTTCTTGTCTTGTCCGCGTATTTGCGTATCGATCGCTCGCTATGGCTTCAAATGCAAGTTATTGGGGGAGGGCTGGCTAGGCATTGGTTTGAACAAATAGATGATATATACATATATATATATATATATATAAATATATTATTAAAAAAAAAAAAAACGCAGGTTCTGTTCGAACAGCCGTAGTTTGAAGATATTGAGACTTGCATTAGCAAGCGGTTTGGCTGCCAGCCAGGAAGCACAACGAATCGCCGGCGAGGCGGGGCATGCCGAGTGAAGCAAGCCGAGAGGACAAGTTCCACTCACCTTTTCAAGCACTTTTGCCTTTTCAGGATTTGTTGAGTTATCACCACCCAAGCACCAGAGGTGTGTGGGCATTTGTTGCAGGTCGAAGTTTGGTCTCATGTTTTGGGCATGCCTCACCTCGTGACAGACCGATGGACCTGCGCAGCAAGGTCTCGACCTGTCGTGGTGCTGTGTTGGGCGTACCCGCGTGGCAAGGCTCCCCCAAACCTGCAAATTGCAAAAGTTCTAGTTGGCGGGTGCCTGTGTTGCGTTCTTCAAGCATTACTTTGGTTGTGCTAAGCTTTTTTCCAGCTTGGTAACAGGTGTGAGCTGGACAAAGATGACGAGGAGCTCCTGGTGGAACTTCTCGAGGACTGAATCACGCCCTTCCGACCATTTTCCAATTTCCTGCCTGTGCAATGTACATTGCCTCAATTTCTCTGAAGACCGAGTTGATTTCTGGACGTGGGCACAAATCTGAGTTTACGTCACTTGAGCTCGTTTATGGGCCGGTGCCAGCTGACTGAGTTGCCAAGCCTCCGGAGATAGAGAGATCGCCCCGGTTTTCGGGCCCGCCAAATGGCAGAATCGCCATTCCCCATGACGGATCAAATCCAAGAAAGACTTCTGCTAGGTTTCAGCGGCTTTGGATGCGGGCCGACCAGAGACAACGCATGGTTTGAGAGAACTGGCGGAGCGCGATGGTTTGAGTGGCATCCTTGCTTATGGCCGCGGATCGAGTTACTTAGCGTTTTCGAGTCCATGATTCTTTGACTTGAATGTGAGTGTTGGTTCATTAAACCTCGCCACAACATACAGGATATCCCACAATATTACAACTGGCTTCGTGTTGGTTTGCGGAGGACATTGGCATGCTACCAAGTTTTACCCAAAAACCGACTACCCATTTTGCCCTTGTCCATTGAGTGAAGCAGAGTATGTCCGCGGAGAGCCCGCGCAAGCGCGAAGACCGGAAGTGGCTGAGGACCTGAAAGATCCACTGTGAAGGCGGCGCAGGCAGGGTCAACACTGAGGAGAGTAAAGGAATCCGGGCCGACTGACTGAGCTTCAGTTTTGGCTTCCCAGCTTTGACAAGCCAGGCAGCTAGGGATGTGATTTTGTTCCCATGCCTGCAGGTGAGCCGAGGGTGAGGCATGGTGCAAGAGGGTAGGCATGGTCACTAGCCCTAGCGGCGAAGCGATGGATGCTTTATTGAAAGGCAACAAGGCGGCACCTGTTAGGCTACCCGGTTCCCAATTAGTGGTTTGGATTGGTGGATTTGGATTTGAACCGCTGGATCTTGTAGTGGTTTAATGGGACCACCAAACCGCCAATCCCAAACCACCAACAGGGAAGCTGAACCTTTCTGTTTTTTGGCCTGGTTCTCTTGCGAGCTGTGTGCCTAGTAACTGGGCCGGGTCGAGTCTCTTTGGAGGCTTTAGGGGAAGCCCAGGAACCCCTGGCACCGATTTCACCAGCAATTGAACTCGGACAAATCGTCATCTCCCAACTGCACAAACCCCCATCCCTAGTCAGACGGCATTTTGTGTTTGTGAGAGAGTGTTTTTGAGTTGGTGCCCTTTCAGCTTGGTTTAAAGGGAAACCAAAAGGACACGAAATGCAATTTCAGGGGCCACTAGTTTGAGAACCCCGAACCGGCCCCCTATGCTGGGCTTCCTTTTGGGGCTTTCACGTTTGGTTTTCCTTTCCTATTCCGAATGGCTCGTCAGTCGAAGACTCAAGCCCGGGCTCGCCAGGTGCTCCCTGCGGACGCGCCATTGTAATGGTAGGCCCGGGGCCGGAGGTATGCGAGGCGATTCGGAATCGAGCACGAGGTTGGCGTTGGTTTGCAGGTGCCGTTAAAATGGCCGCAGACTCAAAGGCAACCGAAAGGAAAGGCAGGATTTTGGGGCGCCCCAATTTTGACACATACCCGGTTTTACCTCTGGGTTCCCAATTTTGCTTTGCCAGATTATTTGGAAAGTGTTTTTCATTTTTGAGGAAAGTGACGTGTGCCTTTCAGAAATGGTTTGCGCCTTGGTATGAAGACCAAGCAGAGGTGGACCTGTTCCCTGTGCAGCACTGTAGGTCAAAAAGTCTGAGATGAAGTATTGAAATTGTTCGAATTTGTGAACTAAGAAACCCAAGTCAAAAGCCACTCAAAAGGGGTCATCTCCACTTTGCGGGTTGGCAGATAGCTATCACCCAGGGTGTTGACCTATAGAAAGCCCTGTTGTTTTGTTTTGCATCCTCCCAGGTGCATTGCCGGTGGAATTTGCCATCTTGTGCCGCCAGAAAATTCGCGGAGACTCCGCGGGAAGAAAAGAGAGGCCAAACCGCGCCTTTCGGTAAGTGTCAGGCACCTTGGATTGAACCAAATCGGTTTTCAACGTGTTTTGTCAAAAGCTGCCTATAGTTGGCAGACTTATCAGGGATGCCTGGATACCAGACAAGTCTTTAGGGTTGCGTCCTGGACGCAAATGAGCATCTCCTTCCCGACTTGCCAAAGGCAGAGCTTGGGATGGAAACTCCGTGGACCACGCGTTGCTCGCAGGGCGGGTTGTTTAAAACGAGGGATCGGGCGTGGGATCTGTAACGCTTCGTGTGGATGGGTTCGGATCGAAGGCGGCTGATGGCTGAAAGCCTTTGGTCAACCGCAAGGCTCACCATATCTTAAGGCTTAAGGACCAACAACCTGTTTGTAGGATTCCCCAGAAACGGCACACACATTTAAGAACGAAACTCACCCTTCGCCGCTGCGGGAGCTCAGAGTGAGGTGCACAGACCAAGCCTTCAAGCCTTTTGCAGGGCCCATGAGTGCGTGTCTTTTTTAAAGGGGGTCAAAGGAACACCAACAGGAAACCAGCATTTCTCATTTTTGCCGTTGTTTGACAGCACGTTGGTTGCCCAATCCAACAATTCCCACTGCCAACGCAGCAGGAAGTCAATGGACGTCCTGGTAAAGGTTACCCAACACACACACACACACACACACCAGCCAAGTTCTGTCAATTTAGACACGCAGCAGTTGGCAACCAATCCCACGACTCGTTCGATCGACCGCGTACGATCCCGGATGTCCTTCCAGCTGCCGCATGTCTACACTGCCGCCATAGGCCGGCCGAGCGACCGAGCGACCGACCGGTCATGAATCACGGCGCCCTGGCATCTTGATACCACAAGAGAGGGGTTCTCAAAATGGTGGGTCGCCTTTTGGATGGCTTGAAGAAACCAAAAGGACACAGCCGCCATCTTGGGTTTTCCATTCAGCCAACAAGATGATCAGTCTTGGGGCTCCTACGCGGAGTAAGTTCCGCCACTTAGAGATGCGTGCGTTTCAGCCCGCGATTCCCGCTTGGAATTTGAAAGCCCTTTATGCGGAATGTAATGTGGCCGCCATGCCGACAGCGATCGACGGGATTCAGGTTTTTGCGTTGACGGCGATGCCATGTAGAGGGGTCACGACATGACTGGCTTGCCGCTCGGCCAGGGATACTTACTGCCGCGGGCAAGGCACGCGGTTGCCTTCTCAGGTCCAGCTTTTGCCCGACCATCCGGGGCTTGTCAAAGTGACGGGCCTGTTTTGCCTGTTGGCCTTTCAGATTGCCTTTAGGGCCTTTAGGGTTTTCCAGCTACAGGGCAAAGTTCAAATATCAAACCTATCCTTTTGATCACTGCTTCGTTTGCGAGCTTCCATAAAAGTGGAAAGGGGAATAACGGTTCGAACCGGCCCTGGGTTCCCCGACTATGTTCTCATGTCACCATGTGCAGCTGTTCATCTTCGCCACTTTCGATTGCTGACCGAGCTGGAGGTAAGTGGACTCCAGGGAAGATGTTTGTATTTGTACAGTACGCATATCAGCCGCTGGTTGATGCCTAAAGGTCAACCCGTTTGCTGGGACTGAGCAACAACTGGGTTGCCAAAATCTTTCGTGAGCCCCGAACATGGCTGGTTTCCTTTCGGTTCCCTTTAAAGCGACCCCACAAGCGGGTACCCTCAAACATAGACACGCCCAGGGAGTGGTTTGTATTAAAAAGCAAGAAATAAAGCCAACCCTGATGGGTTATACAAGCCCAGAGCGTTTCATCTTTTGCTTGAGACAGAAAAACAACTGGGTGGTCCACATTTTCGGGAGCCCCAAACATGATTTTCCTTTTCGATTTCCCAACAAAGGGCCATCCAAGAGCAGGAGACACGCGAACTCCTTTTGCATTCGCCGTGAGGCAGGCGATGCCTTCGGCCCTGCGCTGGTCTCCGAGTGGCCTTTGTGGCTTTTGGCGCTCAATGTGGGGACCCCGTCTCGTGCCGTCGGGTTGCAATGCGACCCGACTCGACTCATGCGGGGCATCAATTTTCATAGACGTCGGGGATGGACACCAGAAGTCGGGGATGGAGTCCGCCACTTTGGGCTGGTTCCAACTCTTGACATTCAGTTCGCCAGGTTGCTTTTATTGCAGCAACCGCCTTTTTGTTTGGAGCATGACTTGCGTCTGAGGGTACAGAGTAAGGTTATACTTCTTCAATAACGTAATCTCACTTAGTGGTTTGGCTCCCAATTAGGAAATCATCACCTAATCTCTGAACCCCGGGCGTGGAAGCATGGAGACAACGTCACAAGTTTCTTTAATGCCATACGTCGGCCAGGTTGCTAACCTGGTGTGTGTGCGTGCGTGCGTGCGTGCGTGCGTGCGTGCGTGCGTGCGTGCGTGCGTGCGTGGGTGTGTCTGTGTGTGTGTGTGTGTTGTGCGTTTTGTGTGTGTGTGTGTGTTGTCTGTGTGTGTGTGTGTGTGCGTGTGTGCTTGTTTTCAGGTCCAGACATGCCTGCCCTATTTCGTCTCGCTTCGCATTGTATAGGGGTCCCCGCTTTTACGGCAGGCCAGCATGTGCCGTAGCATCGAGAATAGTCAATATGTCTTTGTTAGGAATTCTAGGACAATCATTGGTCGCCGCAAAAAATAAACACATGAGCCACGCTGACACACGAAAAATGTGCGCTTTCTCTGTTGAAATCATTCTACATGTCCGGGCACCTTCGATTCAGCGGAGGGGGAAGTCAAGGAGATGCTTTCCCGGTAGATGTGGGTAAGTAAACGGGATGATGAAACCAACATGGGTGTGTCTTTTGTTCAGGGACCCCCACAGAATGGCTTTGGGTTTTCGTTTTCGTTTCCCAAAAAACACGAGGAAAGGGGGTAGCCTCAAGAAAAGACACGGACACCGCTCGCAACCAATCCAAATTTTCGACGCGAGGCCAACGACTTGCACCTCACGCTCACCTCTCCGGGCACCCACTGGCTGTCGGGGAAGCCAAGAAAGGGAACGGGATGTGATGCGAAAGCTTTCACGGGGCTGACCTTGTGCTGGGGTGTTGCTGTTCCGACTTTGGACCGTTGCAAACCATTGCCTATGCACGGAATTGGCGTGACAAAGATCAACATGAGTGCTGGAGATGTTGTACCGTTTGAGCAAATCATAGCGAAGACGGCGTCGAGTCTTGAAGCTTTCCGCGTGAAAATATCGCCAAATATCAACAACTGCCAACATTGCTCGATGATTTATGCGTGGCATGTGGTGGAGGCTATACAACTGCCCAGCCTGGGCATATCAGATACAAGGTTTGATGGCTGGCGGTCCAAAGAAGCCAATGAGGAGCAGTGCTAAGCCTTTGACTGTCTCAATTGGGGCCATTGAGAGAGTCAAGTGAATCGAAATCCCTGGCTTGTAAGTACCCTGGTCACTCCCAGGCACCGTGTCTTGGCATATTTTTCCCAGTGTTTACGCTTATCATGGGGATTTTACACAGCATGTTCCGTATGCGGAGGGTCCGCAAGCCGAAACATCGCTGAATGATTGAAGTGCACTAAAGTGCACATCATTTCAGGACTTCGAAGTCCATAGAAATCCTGCAAAAAGTTCACTTTTTACATCAGCTTCCACAAAAGGGCTGAGAGCGGGTGTGGGTGTAGGAGGGGGACACCCCCCATCATCAGAGTTTGTTCCCTTTTCGCAGCACGGCATGCCGAGGCCATGGTATGTGATCGGAACGCCATCGCCTGAGCTGAGTGCATGCATTCCTGAGCTTGCGATTAGTACTATCGATCTCTAAAGTTGGGCCCGCAAGTGAAGTCTCAAGACCGAGGGGTTACCCGGTGTCTGTTTTCAGGGTGGCACCAAAGATACACTCACTTACTTTTTGTTGGGTTTTTTGAGACAACTTTACGTTTTCGGCGGTGCTTCTAGGATGTTTTTGAGCAGGCTGCGGCGCCTGGCCGAAGATCCGGTCTTCTTCCTCATCGGCTGGCACTACTCGGAGCGGGGGGGTTGGCCAAAACGGACGTGGGACCGGCCGCGGGGAGACCAGTTTCCTTCCACAAAGGCGCATGCGATTGGTGAACTCACCTCAGTGGAGTACATGTCTTTTTTGTTATGACATGGCTTTGGATGGATTGAATCGGGTTTGGATGGATGGGCGGATGGATGGATGGACAGGCGGAGGGATGGCCGGACCAATGGATATAATCGCATTTGATGATATATATATAATATACATAGGTGTATGTACTCTACATATACACATACATGCATACATACATAGATAGCGCGGGGGGTTTGCGACCTGACCAAGATGAAGGCTCCGGCTCCTTTCAAGAGCAGCCTTAGTCTTCCTTGGCGAATCATGATGTGCGTCTCCCAGAACCGGGCTTCTTTTAATGTCATTTTTTTTCTTCTCCATGTTGCGGTCTCTTTGTTTGTACGGAGGTGCTTGTTGAATCCGTCTCTGTGGACCAATGCTTTGTCAGCGTGAGTGTGATGAACACATGTATAATTCTATATGTACGCATGATATGTACATATATATATATATATGGTACCCCCCCCCCAATGGACCCTGGTTTGGTGCGCTTGACCAGTATTTTGCCAGGGTTTTATGCCTTTTTGTGCTTTTTGGATGTTGTGTCAACATTAGGGGGTGCCACATGTATATGATATGCATGCATGCATGCATGCATGTACAAAAGCAATGACATCAGCATCTGCAATCTGAAAGAGTTTGAATGCATCCAAGAGTTTTTTTTACATTCCTGCATTCAAGATTCAAGATTCAAGAACCTGAGAGAATATTTTCTGGGAATCTTGAATCTCTCGAATCCCACAATTTTGACTTCTTTTTTTGTTAAATAAATAAATAAATAAAAATAAATACATAATGTATGGATTCAAGATTCAATATTCAAGAATCTGATATATATATATATATATATGGGAATCTGAATCTTGAATCCAATATTATTTTTCAACAAAATCCAGGGTTGTCCCAATACTCTCGGTGTTCAATAAGATTCTCGGACATGCTTTCCGTGCCATATTTCAATCTCGAATCCTCAATTTTGAGCAACTTGAACATTTTTAGGGGTTGACCAGGATGGATGATTCTCAGGAAAGTTGTTGTTTGTGCAATCCTCAATATTGAATCCTCAATCCAGTGGTAAAGCACTTTCGGGGTTTGGCCAGGATTGACAATTCTCAGGAAAGTTTTCTTGTCCTACCAAAGACCTGATAAGGGATGAAGGGAAGGTGTCTTGGGCTCACCCGAGCGGAACAACTTGATTTGGCGGGCAAATGAGGCAACCCAGGGAAGGTGATCATAGACCAATATAGACTGTTTGTTTGGGGCATGCTGCGTCAGCTCATGTCTAAATGGTGATTTGCATTGGTCCACTTAGAGCGACTTGAGCCCTTTTTTTATCGCCAAACCAGCGATCCGATCCTTCCATTGGTAAAGCTGATGCACAGCAATTTCTGCCATGGGGCATGAGCAACAAGGATTGGAGCCTCCGGCTTCGGAGGGATGCCGCCCGCCGGCACCGCCGCATACCAGCTCGAGCAAGAGCCTTTAGCCTTCCATGTGGACGGAGCAAACAGAAGCACGTGGATAAAACCCGTTGTTGATGCGACGCTGGATATGCAATGAGACGAATGAGCCAAATGTGATTTCCGTGGCTGTTTTGAAGGGGGTGGGGTCAACATCAATTCTCCTTGACTGGCCGAGGGGAGCACATGTTTGCTTAGCCATCTCTTGACCTCAATTGATGGCCTTGATGCTGACAACTGAGCTGCACGCAGCTGTGAGCTTATCGCCGCTGCTACAAGTCTCTCTCTCTCTCTGTAAATACCTATATGGGTTTGTCTTGTTTGAGGGAGCCTAACAAAACCATGGTTTCTCTTTTGGTTTCTCCCAGAAAAGAGATACTACATCCGTACAAGTACATCAGAATCAGCACGCCTGCTTTGACTTCGCTGCCAATGGCGCCAAAGGCGCGCCGAGGCGGGCTTCGCCGGAAGGACTTGGTGGCCGGATCAGGTTTGCACGTGTTTGGTCCCCCCCCCCGCCATTGTTCGCGTTTTGCCTCAAGTTCCTTCATCCACTGCTACTGTGGGAGCAATTCGGCGTGGCCGTGGCTCATTTGGCGCTTTTTCTTGAGGATGCATCTGATGTCTTGTTGCAGTTCTGACCATCTTGACGATGAGAACCCGGAAACGTTCGCGTGATCCCGGGTGCGCCATTTTGGAGGCAGATGGTGCCACTGCCGCTGGCTCTTGTGGGGCCCTTGACGGGTCATGACTCATGCCCCTTTGTCCCAAATACCACTGCGTCGTTTTAGCAATTTTGAGGGGCTGAGGGGAATCGGCAGAGTTGCCATGGGTCTCCAAGCAGTCCGAGTTTCTGCAAAATCGCTGGATGCCAGGTGGAACTGCGAGAGCTTGAGGTGGGCATGTGACATCAGTCTTGCAGCTTGACGAACAAGTGAGAAGATGATTTGAGGCCCTGAGAAACCCCTGCCAGCTGTGGTCATTTGGGCTCAATCAGATGCTTTCCCAAGTTCTTTCCCCCGAGCAAATGACCCTTCACGTTTCCCGCATGGGTCTTTGCGGCCCAAATCTAGTCCGACTCCTCCGGGCTCCCAGAAACGAATGCTTTCTCGGCCTTCCACCAGCTGGTTCAACCAGTATTTACAGGGATCCCATGGTGGATCATGGGAACGCCGGATATAGATCGCGGATTATTAAAAACATATATGGGGTGTCCCGTTTCAGTGGGAGGCAGGATTTGCTCGCCTCTTGGGGTTCAAATATCACTTTTGGAGGGCCTTTTCAACCTGGGAATACAAACCGGTTGATGACATCCGACCTCATCTCGGCTTCGAGGTTGGCGGCGCCCGCTCTCAAATGCGCCTTCCAGGCAGAGTAGCCTTTGGCGTTCGGATCGGTCGAATTGCTCGGGGTCGGTTGCGGAGCATAGGTGTGCTTTTTAGGTTGGTTTGTTTAAAAGCGGCACTGGTTTGAAAGGGCCGTCTATGTTTTCGAAAGGTCACCTATGTTGCTGAGGTTCAGAGTAGCATTTTGGTTTTCCCATGAGCTGTGGCGCCGTGCATTTTGAGTGCTAGGAATGGTGAACTTTCATGGCCTGGGGGCCGTTGCTCGGGCGTTGAGACACCTGTCAGAAAGGGGCACCCGTTTGCCAATCCCTTTTGTTCCGATTGGTGCACCCTTAAACGAGCTCCCCCACCGACTTTGATTTTTGCCAATGGGCCCACTATTTATATTCGTGGGCCTATGTGGGCCTCAAGAAGGCAGTTTTATCGTTGCGGGAAGAGTTGTTAGGGCTTGGCTCGGATCGCACCCTGTGGGATTCAATTTGCAGCCAGCTTTGCCGACCGGTACAAGTTCTCTCTTGGTTCAGTCTAAGTTTGCAACTTTATGTATGCAGATTGTTGGACATCGGGTGTGCACATGAACCGGACGCCTTCTTACTCGAGCCTGTCAAATAAATCTCCTAGTTCCGCGATTCAACCACTCATGACAGGCGCCGATCTCCGCACCTAGTAGCGCCGGCCTCAGGCATTGCTGAGCTCCCTTTGTGCATGATCTGGTCCACGCATCCACTTTCCGGGATGATGAGACTGCTTCGATGTGTTACTCAGCCAGTCGCAAGTTGTTGAAGTTGTGTGTTGGCTGTTTGGGCAAATGGAAGTAGAAGACCGGAAGTTCAGACGTGAAGCTTCAGGCCTTCTCGCCTTGCTGCTTCTGAGCGGGGAGTTGACTGCGTGAACCTAATTACCGGCCATTCCCTAGAAGCACCCCAACGCAGTTTAGGGTCATTCCTGCATGCCCTACGTAAGCTAGGGATGTCGGGAGAGATTGCTAAGGGGACCTGTCGTCCCGAGATTGTGAGCTAAAGCAAGTGAATCAGAGCTTCATGTCCCTTAGGTTTCAACTGAAGATGGCCCGACTTGCAACCCAAACTTTGGAGAGTGCAAGGGAAATCAGAATTCCCAAACCCTGCTTGCGACTACATTAGCAATCGGAATAATGGATGTGCTCTTGCACTGCCGCGAAGCTATCCCAAAAAGTTCCCTATAGCCGCCATAGCCCCAACAGGGTCCTGAATTGTATGTTCAACATGGTTGTGGGTGGGTTTCTTCGAAAGGTGCGACAGCATGTATTCCCTGGTAAGGATGGCTGACGTCAGAGAGGGTATTGAAGGCATGGTTGTGTGGCCAACAGGACGCATATGGGGGATTTACATGACTGTCCCATGGTTGCCGAGTGCTCCATTACGGGCTCCCCAAGCCCAAACTCACCAAATCGGGTATATCAGGTATGCAACATGTAAGCTACCTGGCAATTGCCTCGGGGGGTTTGTCTGGAGAGGCAAGCAATATGTCTTTAAATGGTCTACTGGACATGGTCCTCACTGTATAGTGATAGGTACCCAATGAGAACTGCATCCATACAGACTTGCTCCAAGGTTGCAGTTGCTTGGGTGTTTAGTCCCCATGTGTCAGATCGCCCGTCCCCTTTCTTTGGTTCGAAGGTTCGACTAAGACCCAAGGCCAAGGGCCTAAACGGCCTTCGCCCAACTTGGATCTTCGGCCCTGGTAGAGAGTGGTCAATAGCTGGTCACGCTCCACCAACCCAATCCCGCTGATTGCAATCCTCACCACACCAACCTTCGCTTGGCAAAGCTTTTGCAGGTCTCGCCATGGAGCTGTGGCACATACAAGGAGTATTCGGAAAGACTCCCTGTGGGGGCGTGCTGCCAAGTGCAAAAAACACCCGTTCTGAGTTTGCTGGCGCTAGGTTCGGGCATCATGTGCCCCACTGCACACCTCTGGTGGCTATCTTTCTAGGCTGCGTGGCGCTACGCAGCCACTCGCGGCCTGATCAAGTTCCAGCTTCCCGGCGGAGGCGCATGCAGCAACGGCCCTCGTATGACCACAAAACTGGTCGGCAGAAGAAGGAGCTGTA